TTTTATTTTTTTTATAAATGTTTATTTATTTTTGAGAGAGAGAGCGAGAGTGCATGAGCAGGGGAGGGACAGAGAGAGAGGGAGACACAGAATCCGAAGCAGGCTCCAGGCTCCGAGCTGTCGGCACAGAGCCCGATGTGAGGCTCGAACTCACAAACAGTGAGATTGTGACCTGGGCCGAAGTCGGACGCTTAACCGACTGAGCCACCCAGGCGTCCTTATTTTATTTTTTAAGTAAACTCTACCCTCACCGTGGGGCTTGAACTCACAACCCCAAGATCAAAAGTAGAATTCTGTACCGACTGAGCCAGCCAGGTGCCCCTTATTTTTTTATTTTATTAATTTATTTTTCCAGTTTTATTGAGGAGCATTGATACATAACATTGTACTAGTTTAAGGTGTATGTATATTGTGAAATGATTACCACAGTTAACTTTAGTTAACATCTATCACCTCACGTATTTTTTTCTTATTATAAGAACTTTTAAGATTTACTCTTAGCATCTTTCAGATACACAGTTCATTCCTGTTAACTATAGTCACCATGCTGTATATGTATCTCCAGAACTGAAAGTTTGTACCCTTTGACCACCTTCACTCATTTCCTCTACCCTACCCGCACCTCCAGCAACCACCAATCTATTCTCTCTTTCTATGAGTTTGGTTTTTTTTTTTTTTTTTTAGATTCCACATATAAGTGAGATTATACAGTATTTGTCTTTCTGTATCTGACTTATCTCACTTACCATAATGCACTCAAGGCCCATCCATGTTGTTTTATATGTATGTTATATATAGGTTCCCTTGGAGATACATATATATATGTACCTGGTTCCCTTTATCGGAGAATGGTATTACAAGCCGAGATGTAGAGACTAGGTATGTTCATACCAAGTGGAGGTGGTCACTGCTCCAAGGCCCTCTCAGTACATAGATTTACAGAGCTAGGGAGTATGTATGCGTGTATGCTTATGTATACACGCAGAGACATACATACCCCATACACATTTATGTCTGTATTCTTTTTTTTAATGTTTATTTATTTTTGAGAGAGCGTGAGCAGGGGAGGGGCGGAGAGAGAGGGGAGGGAGGATCTGAAGCTGGCTTTGTGCCAATAGCAGCGAGCCTGACATGGAGCTTGAACCCATGAACTGTGAGATCATGACCTGAGCTGAAGCTGGACTCTCAAATGACTGAGCCACCCAGATGCTCCTATGTCTATATTCTAAAAGATCCATTAGTTCACCCAGACCTTCCACAGGGTTTATTCTAACCTTTCTCTTTTCATATTTGTATCTCTCTTCTCTTATAAAGAGAATTCTGGGTCCCATTGTCCTTTGTTGATTTTCTTATTTAAAAAAAAATTTTTTTTTAAATAAAAAAAACCTTTTTTTTTTTTTTTAATCTTTATTTTGAGAGAGAGACAGAGTGTGAGCAGGGGAGGAGCTGAGGGGAGGGAGACACAGAATCAGAAGCAGACTCCAGGCCCTGAGCTGTCAGCAGAGCCCGACGCAGGGCTCGAACCCACGAACCATGAGATTGTGACCTCAGCCGAAGTCAGACACTCAACTGACTGAGCCATCCAGGTGCCCCTTTCTAATCTTTTTTAATGTTTATTTATTATTAATGAGAGACAGAGAGAGAGACAGAGCATGAGCAGGGGAGGGACAGAGAGAGAGGGAGATGCAGAATTGGAAGCAGGCTCCAGGCTCTGAGCTGTCAGCACAGAGCCCGACACGGGGCTCGAACCCACAAACCGCAAGATCATGACCTGAGCTGAAGTCGGATGCTTAACTGACTGAGCCACCCAGGCACCCCAGATGATTTTCTTATTTGATGAATCCTCCCATATATGAAAAATCTCTTCCTGTGGCCTCTGAACCGTTCCATGTGGAAATACTCAGGGTCACCTCACTCAGGGTTCAACCTCCCGTGCAGACCGGCCCTTTGTGTGCATGTGGATAGTCTCTTCACAGTTTGTGCCCTGTGCGTGGACACCTACTATGCTCTGCCCCACCTAATGGCTGTCAGACTGGATTGCTCAGGAAGGGGCGAGGGCTTCCTGGGAATTCTTGTTTCACCTGAATGTTTCTAGCTGTGGGGTTTTTTCTTTATCTTTATCTTTTTTTTTTTTTTTTTTTTTTGAGCCCTTTTGGTTTGAGGCCTCATACTTTCCCTGAGTCTGAGAAGCTTAATGGAAGTTTCTTCCTGAAAATATTTTTCATCATCTCTGCATATTTTTTCTCTTCTATATATACTGCCATGTGGATGTTGATTTCCTTCATTTCTGTATTCCATATCTCTTGATTTTTCTTTTATGTATTTTACCTTTTCCTGATGTCAGGCAAAAGCCTGATATTTTTTGCTTATTAATTTGTTCAACACTCTCCTTTCTGCTCTTTAATACATTTATCCATTCACTTTATTTCAGTGATTATATTTTTCATGCCCAGTATTCTTATTTGCTTCATTATGACGTTTTCTTCCGGCTTTATTATTGTTTTTTAACGTTTATTTATTTATCTTGAGAGAGAGAAAAAGAGCACGCCCACATGTGCATGTGGGCAAGGAAGGGGCAGAGAGAATCCCAAGCAGGTTCCGCACTGTCAGCGTAGGGCCCTACATGGCTGGCGCTTGATCTCACGAGCTGTGAGGTCATGACCTGAGCCAAGAGATCAGGAGTCTGACACTTAATCAGCTGGGCAACCCAGGCACCCCCTTCCTGCTTTATTTCTAATATCCTTCCTTATTAAGTTTGAAAGTTTATTTATTTTTAAAATTATATATATATATATTTTTTTTTTTTTAATGTTTATTTTTGAGAGAAAGAGGGCGCACACGCGAGTGAGCAGGGGAGGGGGAGAGAGAGAGGGAGACACAGAATCCAAAGCAGGCTCCACACTGTCAGTGCAGAGCTTGACACGGGGTTCGATCCCACAAACTGTGAGATTGTGACCTGAGCTGAAATCAGATGCTTAAGCACATGAGCCACCCGGGTGCCCTGATTTTAAGTAATCTCTACACCCAGCAGGGGCTCGAACTTGCAACCCCAAGATCAAGAGTCGCGTGCTTTACCGACTGAGCTAGCCAGGTGCCCCAGTTTGTTTATTTTTAAACATTTATTTTCTGTCTTTTCTCCTGTGTCCTGGGGATATTAGTCACCTTGGTTCATGATGTATCTGAGGTGTGGTGAAGAAAGCTACAGTCAGCTTTGATGCCTAGTTTGTGCCTCTCCTGGGTTTAGAGAATGAAGGTGGTAGGGGTCCAGGGAGAGGACTTACCCACCGTCATTATACAGTGTGAAACCCCTTCTAAGGCTCAGCACTTTTTAAGGTCTGTTTCCATCTGTTAGAAACTTCTAGCCCACAAAGTACAGAAAGCAGTGGTGGGAAAAGGGAGCCATGCACATACAGGGACCACCCACTGCCATCCGTGCATATCCCCACCAGCTGGCCCCATGGCACCCACTTGTTACTCTGCAGCCCCTTGACGGTTTCAGGCTTGCCGACAATCTTTCTGCCCTGTAACTGCAACTGCCTATTCAGTAAAATGTTGGAGAGAAAAATATTTACCGAAATAACTGCACCACACCCTAACTCCATCTCTGGTGTCTGGCTCTGGTCTGCTCTGCTCTCATTTTCACTCTACATTAGGACCAGATTTCCCTATGTTGTTCCAGGGATTTCTGTCTGTATGTAAACACAAATTAATTTTTTTGTTTAGTATAGGTTCATACTTCACATGCTGTCCAGCAGCTTGCTGTTTTTACATTTTATTTTTTAAAAGAGTTTTTTTTTTTTTTTAAATGTTTATTTACTTTTGAGACAGAGCAAGATGGTGCAGGGGAGGGGCAGAGAGAGAGAGGGACAGAGTATCTGAAGCAGGCTCTGTGCTGACAGCAGAGAGCCCGATGTAGGGCTTGAGCTCACAAACCAGGAGATCATGACCTGGGCCAAAGTCAGATGCTTAACCAACTGAGCCACTCAGGTGCCCCAGCAACTTGCTGTTTTTAAAATGGCTGATTAGGGGCCCCTGGGTGGCTCAGTCAGTTGAGCGTCCTCTTGATTTTGTCTCAGGTCATGATCTCAGGGTTGTGGGATTACGGAGCCTGCTTCAGATTCTGTCTTTCTCTCTCTGCCCCTCTCCCCCACTTCCGTGCTCTCTATCTCAAAATAAAAAATAAAAAAATTAAAATGGCTGATTAACATGATTGATTACATCTGAAGGTAGTTTGGTTTCAATCAAAGATAGCTTTAATATATGTGTATGTATAGTTTTTATATCCTTTTTACACTGAGGTGTCTTCATATAATTACCTTATCTTAAATGTAAGTTAGTGATAGCGTAGAGTGTAGTTGTCAGTGTTCTGTGAAGCACTTGATAATTGCCCTCTTTGATTCTTTTAGGTTGTTACCAGTTTTGTTTTTTTTTCAACGTTTTTTAATTTTTTTTTTTTTATTTATTTTTGGGACAGAGAGAGACAGAGCATGAACGGGGGAGGGGCAGAGAGAGAGGGAGACACAGAATCGGAAACAGGCTCCAGGCTCTGAGCCATCAGCCCAGAGCCTGACGCAGGGCTCGAACTCACGGACCGCGAGATTGTGACCTGGCTGAAGTCGGACGCTTAACCGACTGCGCCACCCAGGCGCCCCGTTACCAGTTTTTAAATACTGTATGATGATACTGAAATAAATATCTTTATGGATAAAATGTTTTACATTTACAGATCATTTCAAGGATGGATTTACAGAATGGAACAACTAGAGGAGTAGGTCAAAAGGCATTCAAATAGTATTTCCAATATGATGTACCAACTTGCATTCCTACTGACAGTATGAGAGTGTTTTCCCACACCATCGTGCACTTAGGTTATTTTGATGATTTGACTGTGATCAGAAGAATTCTGTATCTTGAAAAAAATGCTATCAAATAATATAATTAAGGTATGTTCCTCATTTTATTCTTATCTACCGGATAAATGGACATATGTTTTCTTACAGGACTGAATTTGCTCTTAAAGAAATCATGTCCTCTGGAGGTGCTGAAGATGATATCCCACAGGGAGAGAGGAAAACAGTCACAGACTTTTGTTACCTTCTGGATAAATCTAAGCAACTGTTCAACGGATTAAGGTTAGTGGACTCTCGATGCCTTAAACTTTTCTCTAGTTCTGTGTTTTTTTCCCTATGGCTGGTGTGTGGTAAGTTTCTGAAAGTTATGGATAGAATGTTTTATAAATACCTGTATTAGAGGTCAGGTGATCATGCTGTTTTGACCCTCTTCATTTTCAGATGAAAAGACAATAGGAAAGAGGAATACTGTTTCCTTCAAGTTGAGGCAAGCAGTTTTGTTAGATGGTTTTGTATACAGTATTCCACATCATACCCTATTTATTTATTTATTTTTAATGTTTGTTTTTATTTTTGAGAGACAGAGAGAGACTAGAGCACTAGTGGGGAAGGAGCAGAGAGAGAGGGAGACCCAGAACCTGAAGCGGGCTCCAGGCTCTGAGCTGTCAGCACAGAGCCCGACGCGGGGCTAGAACTCACGAACTGTGAGATCATGACCTGAGCCGAAGTCAGCGCCCAACCGACTGAGCCACCCAGGTGCCCCCACATCATACCCTATTTACATCTGATTTTACACATTGGGGGTATTGAAGTTAATGTATCTTTTAAGAAAACATTTACAATTATAAAGATAATTACAAGATTATCAAATATTCATTTGATAATATTCCATGACCACTGTATCTAAAGTTACACTTTCAGTCACTTTATCCCTATATTCATTTAATTTTTTAATAAAACTGATGACTGTCTTGAGCAATCTTATTAATTTGCCTATAATGTCTTCCTACATAAAACTAATATTCCTAAGAATAGGACCCTGTTTGTCACGGTTTCTCTAGTACATAATGGCCAGGGTCTGGCCCATTGCAGATGCTTCATAAACATTTGTTAAATGAAGGATTCCAAAGGCAGGTTTCTTAACTTCTGTACTCTGCTGCTTTCTATTTTGTGCCAGAGAAGAATCTTCGAGATCAGCTTCTGGTAATAATCAGATTAATTGCAACTTTTTAAAGAATTATTTTCTGGGGTCTGGGTGGCTCAGTTGGTTAAGTGTCCGACTTTGGCTCAGGTCATGATCTCATGGTTCATGGGTTCGAGCCCCACCTCAGGCTCTGTGCTGACAACTCAGAGCCTGGAGCCTGCTTCGGATTCTGTGTCTCCCTCTCTCTCTGCCCCTCCCATGCTCATGCTGTCTCTCTCTGTCTCTCAATAATAAATGTTAAAAAAAATAAAAAAATAAAAAGAATTATTTTCTGGGGCACCTGGGTGGCTCAGTTTATTGACCATCTGACTCTTGGTTTCTGCTCAGGTCATGATCTCATGGTTTGTGAGATCAGTTCCTATGTTTGGCTCTGCGCTGATAAGCGTGGAGGCTGCTTGAGATTCTCTCTCTCCCCCCCCCCTCTCTGCCCCTCCCTCTGATCTCTCTCTCTATCCCTCAAAATAAATAAATAAAATTTAAAAAAGAAAACATATTTTTTCAACTGATTATTGCATTTCTTGCATATTTTTTCTTGTCCCTTGTCCTCCCTCCTTTTTATACTTGTAATGCCTAGAGTGAACATCCAGCTCAGGTCCTCTGTAATGACCTTCTCTTGATTTTCATCTCTGTTCTCTTTTACATCATTTCGTTTTCAGAAAATGTCTCTGAAATTTGTCCACCATATGCCAGACATACTCTTTTTTTGTATTCATTTACTCTTTATGGGATGTATGTCATCTTGTCATTTCATATCAGTATTTTTTGCTATACTGCTTAATAAAAAGCCCTAGATACTACGTTTTGACCCAAAGTTTACTAGCTTCTCTATATATTCTTATTTGAATATAAGAATGAGTATAGTATGAGTATGTCTTCACTGAGTATGTTTGAGAAGCATATTGAATTTAGTGGCATCTCCCTTCTTAAAAAGGAATTATTTTCCTAATCTGATTCTGGATCATAAATGAATCCTTAAAGCTCAAGTAATCTCTTGCTAGAGACTCTCCATCTGGCTAAAATCACTCTGTAACTACAACAACAGTAACAGTAACACATTTCCACACAGCATTCTACAGTTTGTAAATCGTGTTAAAGTACGTCTTCATCTTTAAGCCACACGATGACAGTATATAATACAAAACACGTAACTAGAGTTGATTGTTTTATTTTACCCTCTATTTAAATGTGCAAATTTTAAATTTAAATTTGTTGTGCAGATCAATTTAACAGCTCAAATGTGTCTCATTTTGATCTTTTTTTAAAGTGCCATTTTAATGATCACACTGATTTTATTTTTATTTTTGAATTTTTGATTTTATTTAGTTTTAAAGTAATTGCAGAGTAAAATTGTGTCTGTGGGGATGGCAGGAAAACCTAATACATGGAGGGGTTACACGAGATCTAATCTTTAGGACTGTTTATTTATTGTTACAGAAATTTATTATAATATGCTTGTGATACCTATTTCAGTTTAGTTCTTGAGCTCTTGAACCTGTATCGGGTCCAAGAATTAATCCTTCTGGGCACCTGGGTGGCTCCAACTTCAGCTCAGGTCATGATCTCATGGTTCATGAGTTCGAGCCCCACTTTGGGCTCTGTGCTGACAGCTCAAAGCCTGGATCCTGCTTCAGATTCTGTGTCTCGCTCTCTCTCTGCCCCTCCCCTGCTTGTGCTGTGTCTCTCTCTCTCAAAAATAAACATTTAAAAAGAAGTAAAGAATTAATCCTTTTGACTTTGTTTTCTGAAATATTCAGTACATAATTTCACCAGTTTGAAATTTCCCTTCTTCATTTGTTAAGTCAATAATTTTGTCAGTATACATGTGTAACTTGCAGATACCATAAATTGCTACCCAGAAAGCACTATTTTTTTTTCTTAACTTACATTGTATCACTCTGGCACTGTGGCCACAGCTTGCTTGCTTGCTTGCTTGCTTTCTTTCTTTCTTTCTTTTTTTCTTTCTTTTATGTTTATTTATTTATTTAGAGAGAGAACGCCCACACACGTGCAAGCGGGGAAAGGGCAGAGAGAGAGAGAGAGAGAGAGAGAGAGAGAGAGAATCTCAAGCAGAGTCAGTGCAGAGCTTGATCCCATGAACTGCAAGATAATGACCTGAGCTGAAATCAAGAGTTGGACACAACCTACTGAGTCGCCCAAACACCCCTGAAAGCAGTATTTTCTATACTAATATATTGATTGCCTCCCAGACGTGGAGTAGTACTTCCCCAAAGTGCTATTTTTAAAATTTGAGAATCGTGGGGTGCCTGGGTGGCTCAGTCGGTTGAGCGTCCAACATCAACTCAAGTCATGATCTCGCAGTTCGTGGGTTCAAGCCCCACATCAGGCTCCCTGCTGTCAGCCTGTCAGTGCAGAGCCTGCTTCTGATCCTCTGCCCCCCCTCTCTGCACCTCCCCTGCTTGCACTCTCCCAAAAAGAAATCAAATAAGTCATTTAAATTAATATTTAAAAAATAAAATAAAATAAAATTTGAAAATAATAATAATAAATTTTGGCCTAGAGGAATGGATAAGCAAATTCATCAGGGATTTATTTTCAGTGTTTTGTGTACAGGGCCCTCTTTAAAAAAATTTTTTTTTGATTTTTTTTTTTTAATATTTATTTATTTTGAGAGAGAGAGAGCGCAGACTCAGGGGAGGGATAGAGACAGAGAGAGAGAGAGAGAGAGAGAGAGAGAGAGAGAGAGAGAAAGAGAAAGAGAATCATAAACAGGCTCTACAGTGTCAGCACAGAGCCTGATGCAGGGCTCAATCCCATGAACTGTGAGATCATGACCTGAGCCGAAATCAAGAGTTGAACACTTAACCAACTGAGCTACCTAGGTGCGCCCAGGGCCCTCTTTATTTTAAACAGCCTTAATTATTTCTGTAATAAATATGGTGAGTAAAGTATATATATTCTCTGAATGCTTTTGGGTTGCTGTTTGAGAGAGATGTAGCTAATGGCAGTGCAAGTGTGAAGTTTCCTGAGAGATTAGTACTTTGATTCTCTTCCTTTTTTTCACTTTTTAAGAACATCTGTTTTACACACATACACACACACAAACAGAATGATATAGAATTATTAAAAAGATTTGGTGGATAAATAAGTGAAAAAGAGCGAATTACAAAAACAGTATGTTCTTCATGATCTTGATTTATCAAAAATTCTATATTAAATTGATGTTCTGTATACCCTAGTAGCTCTTAGCGGGGACTGTTTGCTTTTACTGCCCAGTTTGGTCCCTAACCAAAGACCAAATATATTTGGGGGTTGATTTTCTCAAAATGTCTGGTACATATGGGGGTGTGTATTTTCTCTGCTTGTTTATCTAAATGAAAATGCTTTGTTCAGTATTAGGCCTTGGTTGGAAAGGCCTCTATTTATCAGTTCTGTAGGTTGTGTTTGAGTTCCCCATGGTGGTGGTTGTGGGGTGTGTGGCATTCTTCTCCACCCTGCTCTCCCATTCCCTCTCCAAAGTAGCTCTTTGAGTTATGCGAATTAAAAACCTCTCTGCTTTTCAAGGGGTGATACAGTTTTAGTGCATTTCTTTTGAAATAGAGAGGATTTCTTTGGGAAAAATGAAAAGAAAAAATTTTTTGGTTGTTTTCCCTCTTTATATCTATGTTGGTCTGAATAGAAAACAGGATCATAGTGCTTATAGAGAAGAAGAAATACATTGGTGGTGGTCTGGACCAGTTTTGGGACTTGGGGAAATGGGAAAGTAGGGACCCAGCTAGAGTAGCATAGCCTTTAACATGGGGCCCTTCCTTCCTGACATTCCTCTCACTGTTAGTGTTTATCAATTTTGGCTAGCTTTGCTTCATGCTTTCTCTATTTTTCTTGAGTTCACAAACTAATTATTAAACTTACAATGCAGTGTAATAGACTTGCAGAAAAGTACAAAGATTATGAATGTATTTTTTACAAATGGAGCATATCCATGTGGCTTGTACTTGGATAAAGAAATAGAACATATGGGGCCACCTGGGTGGCTCAGACGGTTGAGTGTCTGACTCTTGATTTTGGCTCAGGTCATGATCTCAAGGTCATGGGATCAAGTCCTGCACGGGGCTCTGTGCTGACAGTGCAAAGCCTGCTTAGGATTCTCTCTCTCCCTCTCTCTGCCCCTCCCCTACTTGCTCGCCCTCTCTTTTTCTCTCAAAATAGATAAGTAAACATAAAAAAAAGAAACCAACAGAACATTTAGCACCTCAGCAACCCCCTGTGTTCCCTCTCACTTGGACTTTTAAACTCCTTATGAGCAGAGCAAAAAAGTGCATTTCAGTTCATGAAAGGCTTCAGAGTTTCTATATAATGTCTTACTTAGACGTAATAAATTCCCTTTTTGCCCTTGAAGGTGTGTCTTTCCACCTTATATTACGTCATTCATCTAAGTTCTCAGAACCTTTTAATTTTCCTAGGCATGAGTATTTTTTATAACGTTCATTTTATTTTTGAGAGAAAGCGTGAGTGGGGGAGGGGCAGAGAGAGAGAGAGAGAGAGAGAGAGAGGAGGACAGATGATCCGAAGCGGGCTCTGCTTTGACAGCAGCAAGCCCTGTGGGAGGCTCGAACTCACGAACCACGAGATCATGACCTGAGCCGAAGTCAGATGCTTAGCTGACTGAGCCACCCAGGTGCCCCAAATGTGAATATCTTAACGAAGTGTTTTTCTTGCCTGAAAATATCTCCTTATATTATGTGCATAATAAATAAGCTGTTTCCACTCACTGTGTAAGAAAACATAGACCAAGAGAGTGAGAAATAGATAAAATGAATGGTGTTTTTCCTTTAATAGCTCTTGCATGTAGTTACAGTAGTAATGAAGTGAGAATCATGTTAGAAATATCTTTGAATACTGTCAGAAAATGATCAAAAGCCCCAGTGCTTGCAGGGTTCCAGTTACCATGGTGACTAAGACTGCCGGAGCAGAATGGAATACTTGCTGGGATTATATAAGACAGCATCTTGAGACATGTATTTGAGATACACAGCTGTCCCTGCCAGTGATACCCATGACTGTTGGTGCTTTGAGACAGCAGAGGCCTCCAAATCACTGATTATTTGACTCTGGAAGAGCAAATACACATAGCCAAAATAAGCACTGGAGGCCACAAATAAACATTGACAGAGAAGTGTGCCAAAGTGAAGTATAATGGTCTTAAATAAAAATAACTGCAGAAATTGTTTTGATTAAATAGGCTTCTAATATTTCAAATTAAAGAAGAAATCCCCCACAATACTTCCTTGAAGAGCCTATTTTTAGGATGCCCCGGTTCCTAAGTAGGAAAGGGTAACTGGGAGATGAACGGTCTGTTCCCTTGTCCCTTTCCTCCCCTCCTGCAACCCTTCCTTCCTCTTTCTTCCTTCTTTTTCTGCCCCTCCCTCTTCCTTCTCTTCTTTCCTCAAAAAATTCATACCTTCCTTGAGGCAAGCTCTGCACACCGGTAATAGTAGGGTATCTGTGGGGCGCCTGGGTGGCTCAGTCAGTTGAGCATCCAACTTTGGCTCAGGTCATGATCTCACAGTTCGTGAGTTCGAGCCCCACTTTGGGCTCTGTGCTGACAGCTCGGACCCTGGAGCCTGCTTCAGATTCTGTGTCTCCTTCTCTCTCTGCCCCTCCCCCACCCATCCTCTGTCTCTCTCTGTCTTTCAAAAATAAATAAAAACATTTTTAAAAAGTTTAAAAACATAGTAGAGTATATGTTATTTCAAAGATGATGCTTAAAGTAGCTGTACAAGCTTGTAATAAATATTTTGGTTTTCCGTGGCTTATTGCTCAAAAGAATTGCACATGCATTTGAGGTAGACTGCCACCAGAGTGCAGTGGATATCTTGGTCACATGATGTAGAGAAGTGTGGACTAATAAAAATTTAATACGAACCACAAATGTGATTTTAATTGTCTAGTAGCCAGATCTTAAGAAATGTAAAAAGGCAAAAATGAAATTAATGTTAATAATTTGTTTGATCTAATATATCTAAAATACTTTATTTCAACATGTCATCAATATAGAAAAATTATTGAGATCTTTTACATTCTTTTTTTTCATACTTAGTCCTTGAAGTACACTGAATATTTTATTAACTTTTTTAATGCTTATTTTTTTATTTTTGAGAGAGAGAGAGAGAGAGAGAGAGAGAGAGAAAAAACATGAGTGGGGAAGGAGCAGAGAGAAGGGAGGAGAGAACAGAGGACCCAAAGCAGGCTCCATGCTGACAGCAGACAGCCTCATGCGGGGCCTAAACTCATGAATCACTAGATCATGATCTGAGCTGAAGGCGGATGCTCAACCAACTGAGCCACTAAGGTGCCCCCTGAATATTTTATATAAACTTAACATACATTTGAGTTCAGATGAGCCACTTTTCAGGTACTCAGTACCCATGTATGGCTATTGACTCAGGCAAAATTCCTCCCACTTTTAGCTTCTGTTCACAAAATGATCCACTGTGCTTTCTGGAGAATATATACTGGCTGTTTTGGGGTTCTCTTCTTCACAGGTCCATCAGATGTCCCTGTTTGTTTCTTCTGTCTCTTCCTGTACAGATGCCAATAGCCTGCAGGTCTTTTGGCTGTTGGTGATTTGTCCCTACCCACCTGTATTTGGGGATTTGAAGGATACTTTATTACTTACTCTGTTAGTTTGCTAGGACTATCATAACAACATATCACAGATTGGGTTGCTTAAACAACAGAAATTTATTATCTCACCGTTCTGGAGGCTAAAAGTCCCAGATCAAGGTACTAGCAAGGTTGGCTCTTTCTGAGGCCTCACTCCTTGGCTTGGAGATGGCTGTTTTCTCACTGTGTACTTAAATCTAGTCATCCCTCCATACGTGCGCATCCCTGGTGTCTCTGTGTGTGTCCTTATCTCCTCCTTATAGGACACAAGTCAGATTATATTAGTGCCCACCCAAAAGGCCTTGTTTCAATTTAATTCCTATATTTGTTTAAGGGCCCCATGTCCAAATGCACATTCCGAGGTACTGGGGGTTAGGACTTCAACATATGAATTTTGAAGTGACATAACACTTACTTTTGCTGAAGATGTTGTTTGGGGTTTTGGTTTTGTTATCTAACGTTTCTGTCTGTTTTTGGAATGTACCTGAGTAGCTGAAACTATGCTGCTGTCCTTTCCCCAGAATCCAGAAAATCAGCTTTAATGATATGCCAAAATTTTAAACACGAAAATAGATGAGTATATTTCTAATGAGTTCTTTTTGACTATCAAAGTTCAGTATAACCTGACCTAAAAAGTTACCGTTTTCTAAGATCTTAATTGTCAGGCCTGGCTAGGAACAAAAATACACGTCTTCACCTTTTTATTAAAAAAAATTTTGGGGCGCCTGGGTGGCGCAGTCGGTTAAGCGTCCGACTTCAGCCAGGTCACCATCTCGCGGTCCGTGAGTTCGAGCCCCGCGTCAGGCTCTGGGCTGATGGCTCAGAGCCTGGAGCCTGTTTCCGATTCTGTGTCTCCTTCTCTCTCTGCCCCTCCCCCGTTCATGCTCTGTCTCTCTCTGTCCCAAAAATAAATAAACGTTGAAAAAAAAATGTTTAAAAAAAATTTTTTTTTTTTTTTTTAGTTTTTATTTATTTTGGAGAGACAGATCATGAGCAGGAGACGGGCGGAGAGAGAGGAAGACAGATAATCCGAAGCAGGCTCCAGGCTCCAAGCTGTCAGCACAGAGCCTGACTTGGGGCTTGAGCTTATGAACCGTGAGATCGTGACCTAAGCCGAAGTCTCAGCTTAACCGGCCGAGCCACCCAGGCGCCCCGACACATCTTCACCTTTATAATTGCTAGTGGGTTAGACCAGGGATTGGTAAGGGGGAAGGTATTTGTGTTTACTTGTTTTGTTTTGTTTTGTTTTTGTCTTTTTGTGTGTGATCTTCTAAGATCTTCCAGGAGTAGTGTAAAGAGAAAAAGGAAAGATTTTAAGAATAATAGATTTCACTAAATCCTCAAAACAACCTCATTAGCACCTACTTTCTTGGCTCATAAATGAGAAAAACAAAACTTTGGCATATAAGCAATAGCTTATGTTAATACAATGGGTTCTAATTTGGGAAGTGCTACCTCAGAGAAGTTTTTCCTTAGTGTAGGAGTAAGGATCCCAAAACTTATAGGGAAGCTCTGATAGCCTCTTCTCTGGAGGTGACACAGGAAAATACTCTAATGATGTAGGAATGACGCAGTTCCTGGCTTCTTGCACTCATCTTCTTGGTTCTCTGAGAAATCCACATCTGTAGAACTCCTTTGGGTAACATCATACCTACAAAATAGTCACAGACCTTTGGAGGGACAAGGCAGCAACACCTTAGAGGACTTTAAAACTTGACAACCTTTTTTTTCTATGTGCAAGGGGCCAGTGGAAAATAAATGTATTTCTGAGTGTAAGATTTTGTATACTTCCCCTGGAGCTGGTTCACAGGAGGAGAAGACAGCATCCCGTAGCTTTATTTGGCTTGGCATTTCCAAATTCAAACTAAGGGTGATTATTCAAAGTTATTCAAATTCATAAACCATCCTTAGGAATGGAACAATGTACTAAGTGCTTTCTTTGTGCCCACCCCATTCTAGGTACAGGGCTAGCAATGGGAGCAGGATGCAGAGATAAAGGGAATGTCCACCTTCTACCTAATCAAGCACTCTTGTGCATTTTTTCTCAATCTCTCATTCAAAAAAAGCTTTTCTCCCTCTTCAGTAAACAAAAGAGTTGGGATGCCTGGGTGGCTCAGTCAATTAAGCAACGATTAGTGAGACTGAGCCCCATGTCGAGTTCTGTGCTGACAGTGCAGAGCCTGCTTGGATTCTCTGTCTCTCTCTCTGTCTCTCTCTCTCTCTCTGCCCCTCTCCCACATGTGCTCGCGTGTGTGCACTCTTTCTCACTCTCAAAAATGAATAAAATTTTAAAAAGTTGATATAGTGGTATCATTAAGATATCCTCCCCAAAGGAAACACTCAGCCTTAACAGTCTAGACCTGTGGATACCCCCAACACCTTCCAACTCACAGATCGATTCTTAAACCTAAATTTGGAAACCAGGTATGCCAGTTGGTTAAAAAAAACCAAACATGCCGGTGTTAAAACAAGGAATTGCTGATTGGCCTTGCAAGTCCTGAACACAATTTTGTCTGGCGTACAAATGAACACAGAGGCATGGATTAGAACAAAGATGTCACTGTATGTAATACAGTCTTCTCTGTATAAACAAGAATGTGTGATGGGACACTGTGCTCCTTGACTGAAAACCTTGTTCAGAGGAGTTGAGTTATGCCTTTGACTAGAGCTTTGGTCATAGCTTTGTTGGAGGTCAATTGCATCCCATGACCTGGGGAGCAGAATGAGCTCACAGAGAAGAAATTAGTAACGTAGAATCAAAATCTCAATTGTTTTCCCTTATGGTGCAAAGAAGAGAACATTAGATGAGGGGTTAGAAGGTTTGAATTTGAATCGTAGTTCAACAATTTACTGGTCATGAGTTCCCAGACAACTCGCTTAAGGTCCTTGATCCTTAGTGTGTGTGTGTGTGTGTGTGTGTGTGTGTGTGTGTGTGTGTGTGTAAATGTGTTTACATACACACATATATGCCCTAGAGAAGCCAAGCATTTAACTATGGGACTAAGGAAAGAGAAGCCAGTAGAAGAGAACAGGAAGGACAGAAAGGAGAGAGTTACAAGATGGCGGACATGGTGCACAGCAGCACACCACAGGGAGGACGGACGTGAGGATGGAAGGGTGGCTATCGGGCTGGGATGTCAGTTGTGGGTGGGTGTCAGCCATCTTAGCTAATTCCGCTTAGTTAGGATGGTTGATTTATAGAAACCCAGAAGAGGTTTCCTAAGTTTTGACATCTCAGCATTACATTGGAAACATCTCTGAGATAAGAACCAGGTTTAATCATTTGCACGACACTTTTTGCTACTGTAGTCTCTGAACTTTCGTTCGTAGAGTTGAGGATTTAAACAAAAGGAGTGAGATAAGTGTCATACTTTCAATTTCTACTAACGCTTTGGAAGAAGAATATGAGCAGTCAATTTATAACATAGGTGCCTTTGCAAAAAGTGAAATATCAGGTCATTTAGCTTACAGGATAATTCACAGAGCCCCATTTAATTTAATTCTATGGACCATTAATTTCCCATCTCTGACATCAGTATTAATAACCAAATGATGTATTCAGAGTTTAAAACCATAGTCAAGCTCTGAATAGTAGAGGAATTTGTCTAAACCTCTTTATAAAATACCTTAGTTAGTTTTAGACTCTAATCAAATTATAGTGGTATGTATATTAGCTTCTGTGATAGGTCTTATTAGAGAAGGGGTGGTCACAGGACTTAGCCTTTAGGAAGCTAAACAAAAATTTAACTCTGTGTTGAAAAAGAAATTCCTGTCTGTATAGCTGCGTTTTAATTTTTTTATTACTATTTTTTTATTTTTTTCATGTTTGTTTACTTACTTTTGAGAGAGAAAGAATGAGCAGGGGAGGAGCAGAGAGAGAGAGAGGGAGACAGGATTTAAAGCAGGCTCTGCACTGACAGCAGAGAGCCTGATGTACAACTTGAACTCACAAACCAGGACATCATGACCTGAGCCAAAGTCGGATGCTTAACCAATTGAGCCACTCAGGTGCCTCTAATTATTACTTTTTTTTAAAGTTTGTTTATTTAGAGAGAGAGAGAGGATGCGCATGCTTGAGCGAGCGTGGGGTTAGAGAGAGAGAGGCGGGGGAGAGAGAGAGAGAGAGAGAGAGAGAGAGAGAGAGAAAGAGAGAAAGAGAGAAAGAGAATCCCAAGCAGGCTCTGCACTTACAGTGCAGGGGCTCAAACTCAGTAACAGTGAGATCATGGCCTGAGCTGAAATCAAGAGTTGGACTCTTAACCGACTGAGCCAACCAGGTGCCCCTGAGTTTTTGTTTTTATTTTTATGTATGTATTTATTTGTTTGTCTGTTTATTTTTAGAGAGCATGCAAGTGGGGTGAGTGGCAGAGAGAGAGAGAATCTTAAGTAGAGTTCATGCCCACTGCAAAGCCCAACGCGGGGCCCAATCCCACGACCCTGGAATCATGACCTGAGCCGAAATCAAGAGTCTGGCACTCAGCTGACTGAGCCACCCCAGGTGCCCCTATGGCTGGGGTGGCAGATGTTCTAAATTGTTTTGAGGAAAATACTATAGAATTTGGCCAGCATTGTTCATAGCTATATCAGAAAATATTTGTATACTACCACTTACTTGTTTTGGCCTTTTGGATCACCAATTATGTGCTTTCAGCCCTCATACAAAATTCCCTTCCGTAAAGCCCTTTACGCTGAACACTTGAAATTATATACATAGTCATGACACAAAGCACTGAGTTGTATCTAGTTCTGTTTTCTCTCGTAACAGAATGTATTACTGAGGTTTATTAAATCTGTCAGTTGGGAAACTCAGAAGAACTTGGAAGCACATGCTTCCTTGAAAATTTGCCTAAAGACTTCACACACTATCGGTAAAGAAGCACCCAAGAGTTGTCAGTTCCCGTGGAGGTGATGGTGATGTTGCAACTTAATGCTGTTATGTAATAACACAGTCTTCCTAGCAGCAGCTACATGATAAGAGTCTTAAAGATTCTGGCGGCAACTTCAATTTTAAAATATCTGATTAGCTCTTTCTCGCTGGAGGTACATGGAGACGTTAAAAAAGAGGAAAACTTGCAATAAATGTGGAAACTGGTGTCTGTAGTTAACCTATTTCTATAATCTGAAATGACTTTCTCCTTATCATAAGGATAATGGAAATGGATTTTATTTTTAAAAAAAAATTTTTTTTAAGGTTTATTTATTTTTGAGACAGAGAGAGACAGAGCATGAACAGGGGAGGGGCAGAGAGAGAGGGAGACACAGAATCGGAAACAGGCTCCAGGCTCTGAGCCATCAGCCCAGAGCCCGACGCGGGGCTCGGACTCACGGACCGCGAGATCATGACCTGAGCCGAAGTCGGACGCTTAACCGACCAAGCCACCCAGGCGCCCCGGAAATGGATTTTAAAATGCAGTCAGGAGCTCATTCGTGTTACGTATACCTGAAAATTTCATGTAGGGAAACCTTTTGCTTTTTTATTTGTTGTCTTAACATCTGGTAGAGAAATGCATATCTTCTTTCACTTATTAACTCCACTTACAGAATTTACCTTTTACTCGTTATCACATAACTATTCAAAATTATTAGTATGAAGGTGTTCATTGCAGCATTTAAAAAAAAATTTGTTTTTAATGTTTATTTTTGAGACAGAGAGAGACAGAGCGTGAACAGGTGAGGGTCAGAGAGAGGGAGACACAGAATCTGAAATAGGCTTCAGGCTCTGAGCTGTCAGCACAGAGCCCGATGCGGGGCTCGAACTCACGGACCCTGAGATCATGACCTGAGCCGAAGTCGGCCGCTTAACCGACTGAGCCACCCAGGCGCCCTTCCATGGTGTATGTTTTTTATCCATTCATCAGTCGTGGACACTTGGGCTGCTTCCGTAACTTGGCTCTCGTTTCTTTTTTTAATGTTTATTTATTTTTGAGAGAGAGAGAGAGAGAGAGAGAGACACAGAGCACAAGTGGAGGAGGGGCAGAGAGAGAGAGAGAGAGAGAGAGAGGGAGACACAGAATCTGAAGCAGGCTCCAGGCTCTGAGCTGTCAGCACAGAGCCCGACACAGGGCTCGAACTCATAGACTGTGAGATCATGACCCGAGCCGAAGTCGGATGCTCAACCGACTGAGCCACCCAGGCGCCCCAGCAGCATTTTTATAACAGGGAAAAACTAGAGGCAATATAAATGTTAAGAAGGGATTGGTTAAATAGTTTGTTTATTGTATACAGTAAATGTTGATATAATTATGTGTGTATTTAAAAACCCTGACATATTATTAAATTTAAAAGACATGTGAAAAGGCATGTTATAGAACATTATATGTAGTTTGATCCCATTTATGTAAAATAATAGAAAAACTCACATATTTACTTAAATGTACATAGAAAATGCATCCTTAATGGTGTTATTTCTGGGGGCTAGAATTGAGGGGGAAAACAATAGGGTGTTTTTTACTTCTTACTCTATATACTGTCTAGCATTTTTGTTTTAAAAGAGACTTCTATTATTTTCAAAATTGAAAAAGAAAGAAAAAAAATATAAGATCTCTGTGGTAGATTGTCTATAAAAATCATTCCCTTCCTCGTATCCATGCCCCTGAGTCATCCCCTCCCACACTGACTCTGGGCTTGGCCGTGACGATTCCTTTAGCCAATGGGGTGGTGCAAACATGATGCAAAGAATCAAAAAAGAACGATGCACATTAGAGCCGCCCTCTCTTTTGCTGCTTTTGGGATCCTTGCAACCAACCTCATGGAAACTGAGCTAGCCTATTGGATGAGAAACACATGACCCAGCACCCTTGCTGCCAGCCAGGCAACGGTGAGATGTCTGAGGGAGGCCATCCACCACTAGCTGTCCACAGTTGCATGAATGAGGTCTGGCTCCGGTTTTATTAGCTGATAATTGCCTTTGTTCCTCTTACATATTATCTTAGTTCTCTCTCTCTCTCTCTCTCTGATGATCTCTTCTTTCTCTTTTGCGTATCCATATCTCTCTCTTTAAGCAGCTTTCCCTGACTCCTCAAGCCCTCCAATATATCTCTTTTCTACAGTCTTCTGTTATTTTTATTCAGTACCATATAAGTTAATACTTATGTGCTATATTTTCTTTTTCTGTACGTGTGTTAGTCTTTTCTATTTAACTAAATAATAAGCTCTTTGATTGTAGAAATCATATTTCACATCACATTCTCTGGCCTTTGTAGTACTTAGCACTTGGTAGAATTATATGTAGTAACTATACCTTGTCTAATTGCAGGGCAAGTGTCACCAATAGCAAGATACCTGACTGGGGCAGGAGAAATGCTATACAGGGGCGCCTGGGTGGCTCAGCTGGTTAAGCCCCCGACTCTTGGTTTCGGCTCAGGTCATGATCTCATAGTTTGTGGATTTGAGCCCCACGTCAGGCTCTGTGCTGACAGCACAGAGCTTGCTTGCGATTCTCTCTCCCCTCTCTTTCTCTTCCTCCCCTGTGTTCTCACTCTCTCTCCCAAAAGAAATAAATTTTAAAAAATTTAAAAAAAGAGAAATGCTTTATAAACATAAGCTATACCTGTTTCTGCTCTGTAGCTGTCTTATTTCAATGAAATTATGTATCCTTTGTTAAGTAAATTAAAAAATATATAGCAGCTTTGTGTGTGAGTGTGTGTGGGGGGGGGACTCTTTCTTCTAATCTCAAATATGTATGTGTATTATACACCGTGCTACATATGTTTATATTAAACATGAAAAAATGTTAATTGTATATTAAGTGAAAAAGTTGACATTACAAAACAAGATAAATACTGTGCCTGTATACACAAATACTGTGTATGTATGAAATCTGGAAGGATTTCTCCCTCCACCCCCTAACAACCAAACAATAAAATACTACCTCAAATTTCTATATATTAGTATAGTTTACCAAGAACATTCAGCTTACTTACTTATGTGAGATAAATAAAGGGTTTCTGGGATGCCTGAGTGGCTCAGTCAATTGAGCGTTGCATTCTTGATTAAAGCCCCGGTCATGATCTCACGATTTGTGAGACTGAGCCCTGTGTTGGGCTCTGTGCTCACAGCACGGAGACTGCTTAGGATTCTCTCCCTCTCTCTCTCTCTCTCTCTCTCTCCTCTCTCTGCACCTCCCCTGCTCGCTCACTTGCTCTCTCTCAAAAAAATAATAAACATTAAAAAAAAATAATAAAGGATTTCTTTTATACAAGTTGAACTTAGGTTAAATGAGAGAATTTATATTTAAAAGTCTCTCCTTTTACTATGGGACATTTCAGTGTTTCTCTATTTTAAGTATTTTAGTAGACATTTGGGTTATAGGGATCATTCTAAAATATAGCCTGCCCTTCTTTTCTTAATTGAAAATAGTGCTAGTGGTGATCAGAGGGGTATTGATTTAGACAAAGTTATATTACCACAGACAGGTAGATTAATGAAAAGGAGTGGAGGGCCCCCAAACAAGAACACTTTTATCTGACAACCGCAGGTAGAAGGGATCAGCCCCAAATTTATTATCTCTGAAGCTTGGGATGGTATATGGGGATTCATTGTACTATTCTCTATTTTTGTATATGTCTGAAACTTTCCACCATCAAAAAATAATTTAAAGACATAACTTAAAAAATACAGATACTTTTCACAAATCAATAAAAATATGAGACATTGTAGTAATGTGAACTAAGAAATATTAGACCTTTGTGCAAAGCATTGTAAAATTTAGTGATTATTTTCAACATAAATGGAAAGAGATACTACTGACACTAAAAGTTACTTCTTTTAATTGTGTTATTTTTTTTTAATGTTTATTTATTTATTTTGAGAGAGAGTGCAAGTGTGAGCAAGGGAGGGGCAGGGTGAGAGGGAAAGAGAGAGAAAATCCCAAGCAGGCTCCGCACATGAGATCATAACCTGAGTGGAAATCAAGAGTCAGATGCTTAACGGACTGAGCCACCCGGGTGCCCCAACACTAAAAATTATTTTTAATATGGCATTTCTCCAAATGGATGTCTAGATTCATTGAGGTCTCATTAGAACCCATTAGGACTTTTTTTTTTTTTTTTTTTGGTAGAACTTTCATAAGCTAATGCTAAAGGTCATGGGCAAGTACAGGGAATCAAGAACAGCCGTGGTGTTCCTTAAAAAGAAGAAAGATGCCACACTTTTTATAAAGCTGTAATAATTAACAGAATGTTAATGAGGAAATAGAAAAACCAATAGAATAGAGCCGAGTCTCAAGAATAAGGGAAAATTGATGACTGCAATTCTAGTTCTGTCATATTAGTCAAGTCAAATGATTTATTTTTTTAATTAAAAAAATGACATTTTTAATTAAAAATTTTTTTAATGTTTGTTCATTTTTGAGAGACAGAGCGTGAGTTGGGGAGGGGCAGGGAGAGAGAGGGAGGCACAGACTCTGAAGCAGGATCCAGGCTCTGAGCTGTCAGCACAGAGTCTGACGTGGGGCTCGAACCCACGAACTGTGAGATCATGCCCTGAGCTGAAGTAGGAGGCTTAACAGACTGAACCACCCAGGTGTCCCTCATGGATTTATTCTTGGGCTTTAATGAAGAGGTTTTGCCCTGAGAGTGAGACTCAGTTGTAAGTGGCATTTATAGCCAGCATCTCTCAATTGTATCTTTTACTTGTATGCATTAGAAATTGTTGTTATCTTTCAATTCTGAAAGTTCTGGAACTCGTGGGGTATCCCTTTTCCTTTCAACCCTGCTTGTAGCTAGTTCTTTTCTGAGTTCATCTTTCTCATGTTTTGTTAAGTGCCGCTAATAGCATCCAGGGCTAGTAACATACTTTTCCCAGTTTCTTTGTATAAATCCGTAAGTTCGTTAGTCACTTCATCTCCTTTCCAAGTGATTGCAGGCAGATGCTGTTTTGCCGCTGTATTCTATGTGTCATCATTTTCCAGCCTTCAGTAACGGTTTGGTGCTGCTAAATTGCAATGCCAGTGTTACATATGTTGTGTATTTGTTATGGAAATAACCCATTCCTGGTATCCATTTCTGTACCGGGTTTTTCTCAATAAGGCTGCCGTAACAACTTCAACATTTTAGTGCGTTAGTACAGTAGAGACTTGTTTCTAGCTCCCATGTTAGCTATAAGATGTCTTCAGTTCTGAGGTTCCATTAAGTGTGTCTTACTCTGTGTTCCAGGCTGAGGAACAGCCCTATCTTGGTCTTAGGTTGTTGGGAAGTAAAAATGCTGAACTATGTAGTATCTCTTACGTCATCTTCTCAGACATGGTGTGGGTAACTTGCCATTGTATTTCACTGGCCAAAGCAAGTCTTAAGGCCAGGCCCATGTTCCTTATGACAGGGAGGAGTTTGTCTCTAAGGGGTGGACGGTGAGTCACCAGGGCCAAGAACAGGGGTGTATAGTGTCACCCATAGGGAGAGGATAGAAGAATTGAGGACAACCATACCACCTGCACATCCACTTCTAGATAGTGGAATGTTTTTCAAAGTGCTGAGTTCTTCTATGAAGATAATAAACATTTGGAATTATCAGTCTATAAGTGACTGTGAATAATATCAGCCAGGGAGAGGGAAGAGAGTGCTAGAAACCTCGTGGAACAGGCATCTACAAAGGAGACTAAGGATGAACAGAGATAGGAGGGAAGAATAGGAAAGAACATGTCCTGAGCTCTTGTTATAGAACCATTTCCACTCCCAAAATTGTTACTTTTTTTTAAAAGAAAGACTGGGAGTGCCTGGGTGGCTCAGTTGGTTGAGTGTCCGACTTTGGCTCAGGTTATGATCTCACGCTTTGTGGGTTCGAGCTCTACGTCGGGTTCTGTGCTGACAGGTCAGAGCTTGGAGCCTGGAATCTGCTTCAGATTCTGTGTCTCCTTCTCTCTGACCCTCCCCTGCTTGTGCTCCGTCTCTGTCTCTGTCTCTCTCTCTCAATGATGAATAAACTTAAGTAAAAGAAAGCCTGAATGCAAATGTTTTAAATATATCCAGTTTGTACCATCACAAGACCTAATTTCCAAATAGCATAAGAAATTGATTTAATACATGTTTGTTTGTATTACAGAGATTTGCCACAATATGGGCAGAAGCAGTGGCAGTCCTATTTTGGAAGAACTTTTGATGTTTACACCAAACTCTGGAAGTTCCAGCAGCAGCATCGGTAAAGGAATTTTATAGTTACAGGAGAGTGAAGGTCCATTTTATATTAGTCCCACTTTTGACCTTTTTATCTCTTGGTGCATTTTAATATATTTCCTCTTCATGACACAAATGAAAATGAATTGATTTTTTTCCTTTTTATTTAAGATTTAAAATGTAATGTTCTCATCTGATTTTTAAAGACAGTGTCATATCTGAAATGGTTCAGATTAACTGTGACATAGGTAGGCTGATTCATGGTTTCATTCTAATGTAGGCATTGTTTATTGGTCAAAGCTATTTGGGGGTGTTGCTTTTAATTTTCATGAGCTTAGCTCAGAACGGTTTCTTTTCATATTTCAACTTACTTTAAATAGACATTTAATACTGCTTTTTGAATTTAATTGAATGATGTTGAAATCTCATGAAAAATTCATGAATTTGAATTCTGAATTGGGTGGTATTTTATCCTATTAAATTTACAGATTTGGTTATTTTTGGAATTTATAGTCTCTTATTTCTATTTTCTTATCTCCTATGTAAAACAGACAAGTCTTGGATAATCGGTATGGCTTGAAGCGGTGGCAAATAGGGGAAATTGCTTCTAAGATTGGGCAGCTATACTACCATTATTAGTAAGTGAATTGCATATGGAAAAAAATAAAGCGTTATCCTGGTTTAAACACAGCATGCAGAAGTATACTTACTTGGTAGGAGGGAAAACTAAGGAGGTACAAATGAAACCCCAGATCATAGTAATCAAAACAGTCTTATGAAATGATCTTCCATACTCCAAGTAACATTATTTGCTTAAAAGGCTTACCTTCCAAACAGTTTATTTGGGCAGACGCATTTATAACTTAAATGATTATGATCTCCGTTTTAGATAAACGCTTCACTTAAATCTTAATACATAACTTGTATGTTTGAATGAGTGGTTTTGGGGGGAATACTTTAAAACTCATACTTGTAAGATATATCTAAAAGGTTTTGTGAAGCAGATAAAGATAATTTTGATTATATCCTTAGTGATGAGTCAAGCAAGGAAGAGCACTCCTTTTAGGAATCTAGGTCTCATAAAGTAATATCAGTTATACCATAAAAAGCTTGGACTATATAGAACTTCTTCCTCTTCCTGTCTTTTGAGATACCATCCATCATTCCCCTGTTAAAATCACTCTTTCGGGTAGGATATTTTCTTAAGAAGTCCCTTGTAAAACTAAAGATGTTAGAGAACTGAATACATCGCCCTCTGAAGGTTCACATTGATTAGCGCATTTCTGAGTCCTGTGAGAAAAAAACTGAAGAAATGAACCAAAGGACAAATGACTGTGTATGGATTTGGGGAAGGTCATGAAAGATGTAACTGGGTGGAATGCTGTTTGGAGAATCCCTTCAAAGAACAAAAATAATATGTACTTTGGATTGCCATCAAAAAAGGCTTGGGAGCAGTGGGGAGGTATTTTTTTTTTTTTTAATTACCATTATTTTTACACATTGTAAGGGTGATGTGATGATTGCTTTGCTGATTCAAATTTAGTTTAGTCATTCCCATCCCCTCGTGTAGAGGAATAGCAGAGGAATGAAACAAGTATTCATCATAAATGGTTTGAGACACTGTCAAATATGAAGATTTTTTTTTTCCATAGCCTACGCACATCTGAGACCAGCTATCTGAATGAGGCTTTCTCCTTCTATTCTGCAATCAGACAGAGATCATATTATTCTCAAGTCAATAAAGAGGACAGGTACGCACCTACTATGTTTTTAGAAAGAGATAAAACACTCAGAATTTTTAGTCTGTGTGGAAATTATGCAGAGAAGTACACATTTGTTTATAACTTTTATTCATTTGAATGGGCTTTATTGAGTGCCTTATAATGTACTAGGCCTTAAGCATACAGAGGTATGTTACCTAAAAGCAATAAATGTTATAATATATGTTTAGCAGATGTCACAGTACCTGAGTGGAGTCAGAGCACAAAGAAGGGGTTGATTGTTTCTATATGAAAGATTAAGGCCACACAAATTCTCATAGAAAACAAACAACTCCAAAGTGAGGCTTCGCTGATAACCTTTGTCCTTTTTAGCCTGGGTAATTTGAATTCATATGCATTCAGAAGCCTGTTGACAGCTGTCCGTGGGACTAAGGAAAAGGCTGCCGGTGCAGTTTACGTTGTATTTGATAAACCCGTTATGTTACAGTTGCATAGCTGTAGGAAAAAAAAATCAGATAGAAATCATTCATTCCAAATAATAATCTATTGAGCACTTACATATCTGGCAGTGTGGTAGATGCTTGGGTGGGAGAAGAAGAAAGAAAAGAAGGTATACAGGTGTTCTCTTTTCCTTTCAGAGGATTATCTTCTCATGGGAGTTACAGACATATTTGGGGCCCAGGTAGACTGGGATGTTAATTCCAGATGAAGACGGAATTGCTGAACAAGTCAGGGTTCTGCTGGAGAATCTTTGTGACTCGTATTCCCGGAATTGTTAGAAGAGAAAGTTCAGGCGTAGTAGATCTGAATGTTCTCCCTACTCCCTACTACAGAACTCACAGTTGTTATACAGTGAAAAGATTATATTCTCTTAGCAGTAGAAGAGAACATAATTTTGACATATTTTTCTAGAGAACACTTTGTGGTTTGGCTATCATAAGCCTTCCAGCTAAACAGCAACATGTTTTGGAAAGCCCCCCTCTTGTAAATCCCCTTCATTCCCTAGCAGATCCTGTTCAGGCTTGTCCAGAGGAGGTTGCTTGATACAAGCAAGGCACACAGATGCTAGATTCTCCATTTCCCCCCAAAGTCGTCACCGTGCTTCACTCTTCCATCAGAAGATCCGTTAGTCACCTCTCCTTCAGATTTTCTTAAGGTTTCCTTCACGTATTTTCACTACAGTTATATTTCATCAGACTCCCACCCGCTTTCTTTCTATTCATGTTGTACAATTTGTCTGAATTCTTGGTGAGATAAGTTTTACTTCTAAAAATACACAGAAGGGCTATATGATATCTTCTCAGTATGAAAAAGACATATAAGGAAAGAACTATTTTAAGCAACAGTGAAACACCTTGTATAATTCACATTTCTGCATTTTCTAATTCACTCAAAGGGAAATTGGCCTTGGGCCCCTTGGCTTCAAATCCAGCAGTTTCATTTATGAAAATCACTTTCTGTCCTAATAGCAAATGCCACATATGAATGGTTTTCCTGTGCTGCCTCCTAGAGCAAGGCAGATGAACAGAGGCAGGATTATTTGGAACCAGGATGACAAAATCTCTTGCCTTAGGCCACTAAATTAGAATCAAAGGACAATCCTGTGTGCAAAATCTTGCCCTTGTTCGCTGTACCTTAGGAAGGACTTTACTGAGTTGGTAGGGTTGTTTGTTTCTTAGTTCATACAGAGCAGGGAGACAGGGTAGCTAGTAGTGATAGCTGCTAAAATCAACAGCTGGTTGATTAAAACTAAGAAGTAACAGTATTGCACAATTTCACAATTGCTTTAAAAGCAAAAATCTCTCCTCAAAGGGCAACTGCTCTCTGCACTGTCTCAGTACCTAAGGACTGTTAAAGCCAGAAGTCACGGTACATTTCAGCAGTCACCAAAGTGACTGCCTGTCACTAAGCATAAACAAATGCTCATTCCAAGGGGCCATCCTATTTAGTAGAGGAGACGTTGCCACATAATCACTTGTCCTAGGAGCCACAAACCCTGACTAGTATTGCAAATGGCTAAGGCTCAACCTGGTCGGAGTTAGATGTGGAGATGGTGAAGTTTCTGAGTACCCAGAACCCTGGGGACACATTGCAGTTAGCCACCTCGGAAAATAGTGTCTCAGGCAAACATATAAAGAGTCAGTGTTTTCGAACTAGTGGGCCTGGCAGGCTGGACAGAGCTACAATTCTGGAGTGCCAGAATAACTTTGTCAAAAGATCGTGATGTCAACTTCAGCGGTGACAGTGTTGGAAGTTTTACGTTGTGGGAAACGTGAATCTAAACTTGAGAACCTTGGCGCTTCCTAGTAGTGTTTATTGGGAGGATGTGATGTGGACCTTTCCAGTGTGATTCATTGGATGATTTTTTTCTTCTACAGTTTCATGTGTTATCAGGCAGTGGGCTGTGGGCCTGCCTGGGACAGCCTCTCGTGTGTATAAGTGGACAGCACTGACTTTTTTATCTGTGCTTTGCTGCAGTCCAACACAGCAGTTTCCAAAATAGAATACATCCACCTACTTCTGTATGTTTATTTAATACAGGGGTTGGCACACTGTGGCCTGTTTCTGAACTGTCTGGTAGCTTAGAATCCTTTTTATATTTTTAAAGTGTTACGAAAACAGAAAAATATGCTACAGACACCATATGGCCTGCAGAGCCTAAAACATTTACTGCCTGGCCATTTACAAAACTTTGCTAATCCCTGGTTCAGTATGTTTGTGTAATCTGCATTACATAGTTGTATCATCTATGATATGGATTCATAGAACCTATTTTATTTTAGCAAAACATTAAAGGAATTGTCTTATTAGTATTTCAACTGTGAATTGACATCATCCTACAAATTTTCCTCCTGTTTGGAATTCCACTTCTGACAATGTGGCAGGCTAGATAATCTAAAATACTGTTCCCCAAACACCTAGAGATGCTGACTGAACAGATCACCTGTCCTTTTATTTTCTTCTAATTCTTATTTTTTACATTTATTTATTTTTGAGACAGAGAGACAGAGCATGAGCAGGGGAGGGTCAGAGAGAGAGGGAGACACAGAATCCAAAACAGGCTCCAGGCTCTGAGCCGTCAACCCAGAGTCTGATGCGGGGCTCGAACTCACAGACCCAACCGACTAAGCCACCCAGGCGCCCCTCACCTGTCCTTTTAAATGGACAGTTTAGCTGTCAAGAAAGTAAGGAGAATCCTCAGATTATCAACCCTGTGACCAGTGCTGTGACAACCTTACAAGAGAGTGTTTGGTTTTGGTGATGTGAAAGAGCTAGTAAGGTTTTCTTTAGGAAGAAGAAAATTGAAACCAGAAGGAAGGGGTGATATATAAGGATTGGTAAGAAAAAAGTTATCCCTTTGTTTCCTAAAAATCAGGGACTTCATAAGACAATAATTTTAAGGATGGCTAATTGAGGTTATCAAGATAAAACGGGGCCAAATTCTGGACAATAATAACATGAAAGAAGAAAGAAAGTCAAGAATTAAATCATACCAATAAGATCCATTTATTGTTCAGAAGAAGCTTAGAGTAAGTAAAGTTTGCTTTTTAAATTTTTTTTTTTCCAACATTTATTTATTTTTGGGACAGAGAGAGACACAGCATGAACGGGGGAGGGGCAGAGAGAGAGGGAGACACAGAATCGGAAACAGGCTCCAGGCTCCGAGCCATCAGTCCAGAGCCCGATGCGGGGCTCGAACTCACGGACCGCGAGATCGTGACCTGGCTGAAGTCGGACGCTTAACCGACTGCGCCACCCAGGCGCCCCTAAAGTTTGCTTTTTAAAATAGTAAGAAAAATATTTTTAAATAACATAAGGAGAATGTGTAATTTCTAAACAGGTAGAAGGGGGAGGAAAGTGAATAATAAAATTATGACCATTACAATAAAAGTTAGAGAAGGAATGTGTACTAAAAAAAAAAAGTATAGTTAGCACAAAAAACAAAGTAGGAATAAATCCAAGTACACTGGTAATCATAGTAAGTGAAAGTGGTCTAAACTTCCTAGGTAGAAGTCAGAGATTATCAGTATGCCTTTTTTTCTCCTCCCATCACCCCCTCATGAGTATGCCTTTTAAAAGAAAATCCAGTAATCTAGTGTTTACAAAAGATTTTCCAGAGTTACAAGGTACACAGAAAAAGATAAAGTAGATACCAAGGGAAGAAATGCCGCGATAGATAGATAGAGATATATTTAAGTTTATTTATTATTTTGAGAGAGAGAGTGAGTAGGGGAGGGTCAGAGAGAGAGAGAGAGAGAGAGAGAGAGAGAGAGAGAGAATTCCAAGCAGCCTCCACATCATCAGCGCGGAGCCCCACACGGGGTACGAACCATGAACAATCCGTGAGATCATGACACAAGTTGAAATCAAGAGACAGATGCTCAACTGAGCTACCCAGGCATCCCGAAATGCCACTGTATTTAAGGCAAGAGAGCATTATTAAGGATAGAGGTTTATTTCATAATGGTAAAAGGAACAACTCAAAAAATATAAAAACTCTATGGGGTACCTGGGTGGCTCAGTCAGTTGAGCGTCTGACTTCCGTTCAGGTCATGAACATGCGGTTCATGAGTTTGAGCCCTGCGTTGGGCTCTGTGCTGACAGCTCAGAGCCTGGAGCCTGCTTCAGATTCTGTGTATCCCTCTCTCTCTGCCCCTCCACCGCTCACACTCTGTCTCTCAAAAATAAAGATAAAAAAACCTTTAAAAAATATATATATATACATAAAAATTCTAAACTTTTTTATATGCCCAGTAATGTAACATTATAATAAATAACAAAAATTAGCTTATTTTCTGGGAGAGATTGATAAATGGCCCAATATATAAGGAGATTTTTAATGTACTATATTTATGAATCAGAAGACACGAAATGAGATTTATGTAACATAATTAAAAACTTGTTCTAATGTGCTTAAAACTGCCTACAACAATAAGCAAATGCACATAATTTTCAAGCTTACATGGGACTTTTGTGAAATTGACTTATACCTGACATAAAACAGGTTTCAATTATTTTCAAGTGTATGATATCTAACCATGGTACAGTGCCATGAAAAATTAAGAATGACAACATAATTGTCTAAAAAAATCAATAAATCTATCAATTAGTAGACACATTTCTAAATAACTCCTGGGTCAAAGAGGAATTTTTTAAAATTTTATTATGGAAAATGTCAAACATCTATAAAAAATATACTGTCGTAGGTTATTATAATTGTAATGTAGGCTGTGGAAATTAGAAATATCAGGTTTGTGGGGCACCTGGGTGGCGCAGTCGGTTGAGCGTCTGACTTCAGCCAGGTCACGATCTCGCGGTCCGTGGGTTCGAGCCCCGCGTCAGGCTCTGGGCTGATGGCTCAGAGCCTGGAGCCTGTTTCCGATTCTGTGTCTCCCTCTCTCTCTGCCCCTCCCCCATTCATGCTCTGTCTCCCTCTGTCCCAAAAAAAAAAAAAAGAGAAATATCAGGTTTGATATCCCTCATAGGGATGAGTATACAGGTTCAGGTGTGAAGAGCTACAACATTGACTGTAAATAGCCTTTGATAAGTTAAGAGTATGGGTTGCTACTCCTAGCAACCACTAAAAGAATAATAAGGTAGAAGTATAAGTAAGAAACTGAAAGAATATATAAAGTAGAATACTAAAATATAATTAACTGAAAAGAGCGCTAGAAAACACAGATGCAGAAGGGGCAAATGGAAAACAAACAGCACAGGGTGGCTCAGTCACTTGAGCATCTGACTTCAGCTCAGGTCGTGGTCTCGCGGTTGGTGGGTTCGAGCCCTGTGTCGGGCTCCTTGTCGACAGCTCAGAGCCTGGAGCCTGGTTTGGATTTGGTGTCTCCCTCTCTCTCTGCCCCTCCCCTGCTTTACTCTGTTACTCCCAAAAATAAATAAACATTAAAAAAAAAAAAAAAAAAGATGGGGTGCCTAGGTGGCTCAGTCGGTTAAGCGTCTGACTTCGGCTCAGGTCATGATCTCACAGTTCATGGGTTCGAGCCCCGCGTCGGGCTCTGTGCTGACAGCTCAGAGCCTGGACCCTGCTTTGGATTCTGTGTCTCTCTCTCTCTGCCCCTCCCTGGCTCACACTCTGTCTCTCTCTCTCAAAAATAAATAAACATAAAAAAAAAGAAGGAAAGAAAGAAAGAAAGAAAGAAAGAAAGAAAGAAAGAAAGAAAGAAAGAAAGAAAGGAAGGAAACAGCACAGAGGCACTTGGGTGGCTTAGTTGGTTTAGCATCTGACTTACTTTTGACTCAGGTCATGATCCCAGCGTCGTGGGATCTAGCCCCCAGCCTCCATGCTCAGCCGGCAGCGTGCTTAAGCCTCTCTCTCTCTCTCTCTCTCTCTCTCTCTCTCTCTCTCTCTCTCTGTTTCTCTTTGCCCCTCTCCCCCACTTGTGCTCTCTTTCTGTAAACAAAACAAAACAAAACATAAAGCACTGTAAGAGATGCAAACCCTTAGCCAAAGCAACAGTAAGATAAAATGTAAATGGTCCAAGTACCCGAGTCTATGAGGCAGACACTGTCAAAGTGGATTAAAAAGCTAACTCTACATTGTCTGCAAAAAATGGGTCAGGGCATCTGGGTGGCTCAGTCAGTTAAGCATTCGACTCTTGGTTTCAACTAAGGTCATCATCTCACAGTTTGTGAGTTCGAGCTCCACATCAGGCTCTGTACTGACAGCCTAGAGCCTGGAGCCTGCTTTGGATTCTGTCTCCCTCTCTCTGCCCCTCCCCTGCTCACACTCTGTCTCTCTCTGTCTCTCAAAAGTAAATAAATAAACATTAAGAGAAAATGGGTCAAAGTGAAAAGTCACAGGAACTTGAAAGTAAAGGAATAGAAAAAGACAGGGTATACAGACAGTAAGCTTAGGAAAATTGGTTTGATTGTATTAATATCAGAAAGTAAGTTTCCAAACCAAAGAATGTTTGTCCTGGAACTCTTTTCACCTCGTATTTTCCTGCCTGTTGTCTTCTACTCTTTATCATCTCACCTTAAACATCGCTCTCTTTAGGAAGCCTTCTCTGTGAGCTCAAATAGCATCCTTTCTCCTCTCAGTGTACTTATTCCACTGTGTTTTAAGTGTCTGTCTGTCTCCAGTACATTTTAGGTAGTTTCCTGTCTCTGAGATCTATGAAGAAGAGGCTGTGTCTATATTTGTTTGTCTTAATCATTTCTCTAGCACTTAACCAGGGTGCTTGATGCATCTAAGTTCTCAGTGGGTATTTGTTCAATGAATGAATTTGTGAATGAACATAATGAATCTGTGAGTAAGAAATGTGCTAAATGCAGCTGTAGGCTATATGCAGAAATGTTTGTTACTGTGCAAAATAGGATCTAAAAAAGTTTAAAAGCTGTCAGAAAGTTGGAAAAATCAAAGAGCATGTTTTCTTTTTTAATCTAATGAGTAATTTCCCATTTATCTGCCGTAGACCTGAGTTGGTCGTTAAGAAGCTTCGATACTATGCAAGATTTATTGTAGTTTGTCTTCTTCTCAACAAAATGGATGTTGTGAAGGATTTGGTGAAGGTAAATGTACTTTAAAATTATTAAAATCCTGGGGTGCCTGGGTGGCTCACTCATTTAAGCATCTGACTCTTGATTTCGGCTCAGGTCATGATCTCACAGTTTGGGAGTTCATGCCCTACATCAGGTTCTTTACTGACAATGTGGTGCCTCCTTGGGATTGTCTATCTCTCTACCCCTCCCCCACGTGTGTGTGCACACGTGCTCATGTGCACTTCCCATGTATACTCTGTTTCTCTCACTCAAAATAAAATAAAAAGAAATCATTATTTTGAAAATAAATAAATAAAATTATTAAAGTCCTACTCTGTAATTGTGTATGGATAATTTTGCTTTTTTAAAAATAGATTTAAGATAAAAATAATTTTAGCATATCTAAATTTAGTATATCTATATCTAAAACATTCAAAAGTGTGGTAACTTCGGACAAGGGTAATCTAAAAGAATATTCCTGCCCTCTTCATATTTCAGATACACACTAGCGAGAGACAGTTCTCTTGATTCTTTGTTTTTGTCCCGTAAGCATGTTTTACATCTCACCACACATCACTGGATGGTTGCAAAATGCAAACAAAAGTTAAAATAACCGGTTTAAGAGGAAATAATTGAAAGGTTGGGTCAAGAATAAACATTTAATGTTTTACAAAGGTATTGCGAATGAGTTTGGGTTTTTCCATCCTTTTACTGTGTCTGCATCGCTGTCCTTTGTTACCTCAGGTAAATTAGAGGTGGGTTCACTTAATGTCTCTAATTATTCACACCCCGTTCCGGTTGCACTCTGCAGTCAGCCAGCTGTTTCCACAAGATACCTCTTAAATTTTGGTACTCAAGTATCACATGTTAGTTTTGACAAGTCCTTCTCTGTCTTCCTCCACCTCTAGTTACTAATAAGACTGTTTCCAAAACACAGTATGATATGAATCCAAAGAAAATCATCTAGACAGTCTTTGTTTTTAAGCGTTAAAAGCTTGGGGTTTTACCTTCAATAAATTAATTGCTGATGTAGAATTGAGTGGATATGAGTTGCTCTGGATCTTTATGAAGATCTTGTTGATGTGTATCATTCTGGAGTCTTTTATTTTAAAGCAAAATAAAGTAGTTTTCTTCATTTTGGGCTATAATTGGGACCATATATTGATAATAATCAAGCTTCTTTTTTTTATAATAATCAGGCTTAACTATATCAATTTCTGTCAAGAATATGGTACAATGTAGCAATCTATTTGTATGTGTATTTTCCCCATAACTGTTTTTCTTTGTGAAAAATTTAAAATCAGGAATTGTCAGATGAAATTGAAGATTATACTCACCGCTTCAATACGGAAGATCAAGTGGAATGGAACTTGGTGCTTCAAGAAGTAGCAGCTTTCATTGAGGTCAGTTTTTGACAAGAGAGATTGTCATAATTATGGAGAAGTAAATACCTATGTGGCATATGTTTTTATTGTGTGTATATGTCAATAAGAAGGAATAATTTATCATGTTGACGTTTTGCCTTGGCCATCAACTACTCCTTTTTTTCTCCAGGCGGACCCCGTAATGGTATTGAATGATGATAATACCATTGTTATCACATCTAATCGCCTTGCAGAGACAGGAGCACCATTGCTGGAACAGGGCATGATTGTGGGACAGTTGTCTCTGGCTGATGCGCTCATTATTGGTAATTGTAATAACCAGGTAAAGAATTGGGAAGGAATTGTGCTTAAAATTCAATTTAAAAAATAGTGCTTATTATTACACAATTACAGATTAACATCACGTAATTACTGTTTCCTTGTAAATATCCTAAATCCATTTGTGAGGAAATGTTTGATTAAATAACACAGTGTCCACATATGGGCTGTATTACAGGCATTTAAAGGTTTAGAAAGAATTTGTAATCACAGAGGAAGATACAGTCATGATATAGTAAGTAAAAGTAAACTTGGTATGGAGATATGCAAACAGAATTATTTCATATCTGTTAAAATGTCTGTATACATATATGCACAGGCAAAAGGACTAGGAAGAAATTTACCACTATCATAAAAGGTTTATCTCTGAATAGCAGAATTATAAGTAATTTTTATTTTCTTCTTCACAACTTTCTAAATCTGTATATTACTTTTACGGTCAGGCAAAAAAAAAAGAATTATTTCTAAGCATATTTGTCATAGCAAATTTCAGATTTTTTTGGTGACAGAATAGTTCCATGATGATGAGGATTTAATGTACTAGAAATGTAAATTTACTGGAAATTATGGGATATCAGAAAAGTGTCAAGTGAATACATTTTTCTTTTTTTTTTTAATTTTTTTTTTAAATGTTTATTCGTTCTTGAGAGACAGAGCATGAGTGTGGGAGATGTAGAGTGAGAGAGGGGAGACACAGAATCTGAAGCAGGCTCCAGGCTCTGAGCTGTCAGCAGAGAGCCCAATGCGGGGCTCGAACTCACGAACCGTGAGATCATCACCTGAGCCAAAGTCAGACGCTTAACCGACTAAACCACCCAGGCGCTTTGAATAAATACATTTTTCCGTATGCATTATTTACACAAGTTTTAATTTTGTATCCTTCTCTTACACTTTTCATTTTTGTTACTGTTAACTTTTTCTAGTACTTCTCCAGTTTTAGCTGTTAAAAGCCATTGGTTTGCAAATTTAATTTAAATTAAAACATTGCCTGCCTATGGGCAGAAGACAGAACAGACATTTCTCCAAAGACATACAGATGGCCAACAGACACATGAAAAGATTCTCAACATCACTCATCATCAGGGAAATGCAAATCAAAACTACAATGAGATATCACCTCACACCTATCAAAATGGCTAAAATCAAAAGCATAAGACACAAGTGTTGGTAAGGATGTGGAAAAAAAGGAAGCCTCTTGCACTGTTGTTGGGAATGCAAACTGGTACAGCTGCTTTGAAAAACAGTATGGAGGTTCCTCACAAAATTACAAAATAGAACTACACTATGATCCAGTAATTGCATTACTGGGTATTTACCCAAAGAATACAAAAACATATTTTCAAAGGGATACATGCACCCTTATATTTTTTGCAGCCTTATTTACAATAGCCACACTGTGGAAGCAGCCCAAGTGTTGATCAGTAGATAAATGTATAAAAAAGAGGTGCTATATATATACAATGGAATTTTCTTCACCCCTAAAACAGAATGAAATCTTGCCATTTGCAACAACATGAATGGAGCTAGAGTGTAATGCTAAGTGAAGTAAGGAAGTCAAGGAAAGACAAATACCATTTGATTTCACTCTTATATGGAATTTAAGAAACGAAACAAATGATAAAAGGGAAAAAAGAGAGAGAGACAAACCAAAAAAAAGACACTTAACTATAGAGAAGAAACTGATGGTTACCAGAGGGGAGGTGGGTAGGGAGAAGGGTGAAATAGATGATGGGGATTAAAGCATAAATCATGATTAATAATAATAATAATAATAATAATAATAATAATAAAAACATTGCCTACCTGAAGTTCTATATAAGTATTATTCAGAACAGAAAAGGATGCGGTCTTAAACATTGTATAAGGCCAAAATGTACTGAAGAGGTTATGAAATACAGGCCATAGCCATATTTCAGCAGACTGCCTTGCCAAAAAAAGTTGTTTTTGTTTTTGTTTTTTTAGCATGTTTTTTTAAGGATGCTAATATAGGTCTTGTTGTTTACATGACTACTTTTTATGTTTTTAAAAATACCCGAGGAAATTGATGGATAAAGATATAAATAAATGGAAAGATACATGATAAAGCAAATACAAAAAATTTTAATGGTATAGAATTTAGATGATACAATGTATATAATTCTTTTAATTTTCTGTCTTTTGAAATTTTTTATAATAAAACACTGGGGAATAAATTACCCAGTGTCATTAAGTACAATGAATGTCAGGAATAATATTATGATCAGAGACTTCTAGGTCTGTATACTGTATTAATGGTAAGTTTGTTTTGCATGCAGGTTAAGTTTAGTGAGCTGACTGTCGACATGTTCCGGATGTTACAAGCCCTGGAAAGGGAGCCAATGAATTTAGCTTCCCAGATGAATAAACCAGGAATGCAGGTGATCTTCTCTCCACATTTGCAATTTTGGTAACACCATCATTGCTTCTGCTCCTCATGGAATGCTGTTATTCAACAAATGCCATGCATGCGAATAAAGAACTCTCTCGATGAGGCACAGGAGAGATAAGCACAATAACAGTAACATGGAGTAATAAAAAGATATTTGATGAAGAGTATAGTAAAAATAGGCATTGATAATTCATCTGTCAAAATCAGCCTGTATGTGTCTTGTTTTCTGTGTGTGAATATAGGAATCAGCTGATAAACCTACCAGACGAGAAAACCCCCACAAGTATCTGCTCTACAAACCAACCTTCAGCCAACTCTACACGTTCTTAGCAGCATCTTTTAAGGTATATATGATCCAATACTTTTTATTGTATGGGGGGAAGTGTGCCCTAAATAGAATCTGAAAGTCACTCTTTGAATATTTGAGTCAAGAATGTAGGTAAAATATGAAAATGAAATCTGCATTCAGTATACCTAATCACAACTATTTTAGGAATGGAAATTGCTTATGTTGTTGTGAATGTTCCTTACCATTAATTAACGAGAGTATTGATTAATTATCATTCTTCTTTCTCCAGGTTTTTATTACTAACCTACTGTAGATATAACAGTCAGATTGCACAGGCATGATATGTATTTAGGCAGCTCTGGGAAGCCCTGTGGTCATCTGAAAGAACCATGAGAAGTAGTGAATTCCTCCCAAAGTTTATGTAGAGGAAGCCATGGGCAGGAGTTTATCTTGTAGACCCATAGTCAGGATCTTTACTTCACCATTTCAAGGTTTGCCCAGAACATTCTCTAAATGATGAAATTTTTAAGGCACAAAATGTCTTCAAAACTTTGGGCAATAGTTATAGATTATTGATTCATATTGACTCTTTGTTGTATAAACGGTTATGAGTTGAAACCAGCAAGAGTGACTGTCCTCTTGGAGAAGACAGTGATACCTTACATTAGGTTCTTGTCCCTGCAACTTTAAAATGTCAGGAACTTTGAATAAAACTGTTTTTTGTTTTGTATATGTGATTTTCTTTAATTTCAGGAGCTGCCTGCCAATAGTGTACTTCTGATTTACCTGTCAGCCACTGGCGTTTTCCCCACAGGTCGTTCTGATAGTGAAGGTACAATAAAGGAATGCTCCCTGTCGTGAGCAGGGCTTGAATTCTCTTTATTTTCTACAAGATGATGGCCCATAGCCCACAGACCATCCCAAGCTTTCCAGAGAGGCTTCCAGATTTAAAGCCTGGTCTCTTTGTTGAATTGACAATCTTGTAGATACCCCAGCCTATTTTATTTGCTGAAATATTATACTTTGAAGTCCACGAATCATCAGCAATTCATATACTAAATGCATGCCTCATTATCAAATTTGCCAAAGGCACATATATATTTGTATACGTATGGAATAACTGAGCCTAATTTTCTACTTCACATCATTGAATTTTTCTGGGCCGTTAATGTGTCAGGGAATCTGGTCAGCGGCTTCATTGTGGCTGAAAGTCTTTGTAGAAATCAGTGCATTGCTGTAACTGTGAAAGTTCAAGTCCTTGTCATGATTTTGTTTCTGTCCTTTATTTCGTTTTATGGATTCAACCTGAAGAATATTGGGATGCTATTTCAGAATGAAAACTTTTTAAAACTATTCAGAATATATGAGTCCAGAATATATGAAATTGGTCAGAACAGATGAGTAACTTGAATGTAAATTAGGCAATTAGATCTTTGTCTGGACAAAAAAAAAATTTTTTTTCTTAACATCCTTAACATTTTCCTCTTCATCTGTTTGTTGAAATTTGCATTCCTTTATACAATGCATGTCCCTGCCATCTTCCTTGCATGACGTACAGGTCCTCTTAAAGTGTTAAAATGAAAACAAAACAAAATAAGTCTCAATGTCTTTTCATTGAAGTGATTTTTAAGGGGCAAAATATAATACAACATTAAAAGTTACACACAATCATAAACTACTTTGAAGTTTTTTATAATAAAGCTACTAATTTTATTTTTAAATAAATGGAAATTTTGTAATTTTTGTAAGTTTATTTATTTATTTTGAGAGAGAGAGTGAGCGAGCAGGGGAGCAGCAGAGAGAGGAGAGGAGAGAGAATCGCAGGCAAGCTCTGCGCTCTCAACACAGAGCCCATCGTGGGGCTTGAGCTCACAAACTATGAGATCATGACCTGAGCTGAAACCAAGAGTCGGACACTTAACCGACTGAACCACCACAGTGCCCCCTTTTCCATGTTTTATAACATAAACTGTTGAATCAGGTTTTCTGAGCTCCCATTTAACATATTGACCTCTTCTTTTCCTTTTTTTAAAGTACAAGAGGTACTAACTAAATGGTCCTTTGGGAGAGATGATTCCTAACATCCCATAGCTGTTCCATTTAGACAAGAGTTCAACTAACCAATGTGATCAGTAGGAAAGGCTAACTTTAAAACCGAAAGTACAGTGGCTGACATAATAGTGATAATAACAGATTTTTTCACACACAGAAATTTGGCATTCCTTTTCTAAAAATGAAGTGTTTATCAATGAGAATTTTCAAGTCCCACTCAAAGTTTTTCCCTAAATTTTATAATTGGTGGCTCACTTAAAATTACATTTAAGAAATTATTAGGTCTTCTTTCCGCAACTTTCTCACTTAGATAATTTGGTTGAATGTGAGATTTTGATTTTGCTTGAAATGTAAAGATCATTTTGAACATCCCAGCCCTCCATCCTTTTTACTACCCAGAATGAGGGGGTGCAGTAGATTCTTGTTTTGTTTCTCATTATCTTCTGTTTGAAGAACTGACAAATAATTAAATGATTTTTTTAAATGTTGAAACAGGCAACATGCTGAAATCATTTAAATATTGCATTAAACTAGGATGTTAAATTTTAAAATGTTTAAAATGTTTTGTGATTATCTTCCACTTGTATCAATCAGAGATTCACACAAGATCTTTGAATTTTGAGCATCAGATCAATGTTATTCTCCAGCTGAAGTCTAGGATTCTTCCCTTGTTTTTATAGGTCCTTATGATTTTGGCGGAGTACTTACTAATAGTAACCGGGATATTATAAATGGAGATGCCATCCACAAACGAAATCAGTCCCACAAGGAGATGCACTGGTATGTATTCTGGTGTCTCTCCTTATTATGAAAGTAAACGTCTGTTGTAGAAAACATTAAGTGAATGGGGACTTTTTTTAGTACTAGAAATATTCCTTCAGTATAACACGTATTTGGGTTCTAGCAATATTTCAGGCTCTGACTATCCTAGGAAATTAGAATTTTTGGCTGTTCTTTGTTTTTAAATTTTTCATTAAGTATTATATGTCAGGCACTATTCAGTCATGGGGATATGTCAGCGAACAAAATTAACATTCAAGTTCGAGGAGATTTTACGTGTATACATAAATAATATGTCAAGACATGATACATGTTAACATCCATGCAAGAAGCTTTTTTAATATAAGAGTCTGTTGTTTAGATATAGTATAAATGAACTTAGGTGTATGATTTTAAGGAAATTTCACCTATGAATGTTCACTCTTTTTCTAAGTACAACACATTCACTGCTTGGGCCATTATTGGCTCTAGAATTTTTCTAGCTGAGAGATAGCAATTTCTTGTTACAAAGGAGACTGGGCTTGTCTGAAACTGCATTTCTAATCGCATTTTACACAAAAATGTTATAGCTGTTCGTATTAATGAGAAAGGGAAGACGGAGAGGGAGATATTTCAAATTATGTGTATAGTAACTAAGATTCCTCCAAGCCATATGTTCGTGCTTTCATTGACCTTAGTTGTAGATGATTTATATTAGAAAAACTTATGTTTGGGGCACCTGGGTGACTTAGTCAGTTAAGTGTCCGACTCTCGATTTCGGTTCAAGTCGCGATCTAGCGGTTCGTGAGTTCGAGTCCCACATAGGGCTCCACACTGACAGTGTAGAGCTTGCTTAGAATTCCTTCTCTCTCTCTCTCTCTCTCTCTCTCTCTGTCTCTGTCCCTCCCCAGCTCTCTGTTTCTCTCTCCCTCAAAGTAAATAAGCTTTTTTTAAAAACCTGTATTATTTCAAAGAAAAACTTACATTTGAAACATATTGGTTTGATGATGTTACTCATTGACACATCATTTTATATATTTATGTTTACATTTGCATTAATATTTTTACACATACACCCATTGTCCAGTAAGCTACAGATAAGAGAGCATGGACAAAATTGTTATCTTTTCCTATGCACTGGCTCCCAAACGCATATTGTGGAACTTCAGCCTTTGGGTGCCATAGGTCTTCTGTGGGCCAATGAATCTATACATTTAACAAGCACCCCATCTGATTCTGATGCAGAGGTACAGAGGAAACGTAAAGAATAGTAAAAGGAGAGCCTGTGCTTATTACTGCAATATTAAGATACAGCTTGAAATATTAAATATCTTTAAAATAAATACATTGAAATACAAATCTGGTTGTGTTAGTACATCCTGTTTTCAGAACATTTTCTTAGAAGGAGCTTTTAAATACTAACCCAGCACCTAAATGCTGACTTGTGGGATTTTCCTATTGTATGTTTTGTCCATCTGTATATCTGTTGACTTCTCTTTAGCTTGAATATTCCTGTATAATAATGATCTCTGAACATTTTTCTAGATAAAACTGCTAACGTGTCTATCCCAGTAAATAGAGACGTGTTTTGTCTCTTGCTGAGTTAATCTTTGTTTTTTGCTCAGTGCCATGATGAAAAGGAGATGTGAGCAGACCAAACTGAAGAATAAGATTTCTGAAACCTGGCCAGTTTAGTTGTATAGTTATTCATCGTTACCATTGTTTTGTTTTCCCAGCCTTCATCCTGGAGACCTCTATCCTTTCACAAGGAAGCCACTGTTTATTATCGTGGATTCATCCAACAGCGTTGCATACAAGGTGAGTTCCATCAGCACCATTGTGCATGTTAGACATTATGGCACCGCTCCAAGGTAACCAGTCTTAACATGTGCCTTTTTATTTTGCTTTATTTTTTTACATTTTAGCAGTTTGTATTTAGTCTTTCTTTTCTTTTGAGGTTGTGCATGCTAGTCAGGATCTGGTGCTATGAATAGAAACAAGAAGAAAACGCATGAATGGACACTCAGTGGAAAATAATAAATCCTCCTGCAGGAAAAAAAAATTCAAGATTTCCAAGATCTCTGGTGGGAGGTTTATTTTTGTTATATAACCCAGAGTAATTTTCTTTTATAGGAGTAGGAGTATACAGGAAAGTTTTATTTTCTAGTTTTCAAACGTTTCTCCTTTTCCACACTGAGCTGCTATAGTTTAAATGAAATTTCTGTTCCATATTACATAGTCACAGTCTGAATATCAACATAAATTGTTTTAGATGCACTTTTTTTTTTTTTTTTTTAATTTGTGACACTAAGTAAAAAAAGATGGCCCTGAATGCTGAAATACGTAACAGGGAACTAAAGTGAAAAACTTCTGGTTTTATATTTTGCTCTTGAAGCAATGGGTTTCAATGACTGTACAAAGAATGTCCATAGTGAAACACTTTAAAGTTGGATATTAGAATTCAAACTACAGTAATTTACAAGAAAATGAAAACAGAATCTTTAGAGTCCTTTGTATGTGGTTGGTATATTTCATTAGTCAACAATATGTTCAAAAATATGCTAGGAACACAGATCTGCCAATTAAAACTATTTCTGTTGTGGGTGTTCGTACAATTAGATAGAGAAGCAAATATTAGTAGATTTATTTTAGGAGAATGAGGGAAAAAATGTCTGCTAGCCAAGAGATGACTCCAAACATATGTTTTCTAATTTTTATGTTTAGTTTCACTTTTTAGAGTTAGTGTCTGAATTTCAAGAGTATCCAATCCACCCTACATTTTTCAGCACATATCCTGCTACCCATTTTGTCAAGTTTCACAACTCTTGATGTTTAGGAAAATTAGCTGTCAACTTTATTGAATCACGTGTGTGTTGTTGCTTTTAATCTTTGAGGGGATGGGAAGCTGCTGAAGGAAAGAAAAGGTTTATTGTCTACCTCATTCAAATCTATAAAACCAGAAGAGTTTTGTGCCTTGACAGAATTCAAAGGAAGCATTCTGTGACCTTGTCAATGACAAGGAATCATTTGCTACAGTTTAATGATGTGACAATATGTTGATGTACTAGGTCCAGTGTATTACTGAATATGATCTAGCATGCGTTTAGAGTATTTTAGCAATCTATTAATTTCCCTCAATTTGATTGGATATTTGATACCCCCTTTTATAATCTCAAGAATATCATTCATTGTATGTGCCTGCTATTTCCAAAATGCTGTTTGGGTACAGAATGGGTATTGAATGCTGATTTTTATTTTTTTGTTATTTTATTTTTTTTAATGCTTATTTATTTTTCAGAGAGAGAGAGAGAGAGAGAGAGAGAGAGAGACATCATGAGTGGGGGAGGGACAGGGAAAGGGAGGCACAGAATCCTAAATAGGCTCCAGGCTCTGAACTGTCAGCACAGAGCCCAACGTGGGGCTTGAACTCAGGAACCATGAGATGATCACCTGAGCCAAAGTCGGACACTTAATCAACTGAGCCACCAAGCGCCCCTTGAATGCTGATTTTTAAAAACACTATTGTGCATAGTTGGAAATGTATTTCCCTAATTATATATCATGATTTAATTTGAGATTTCAATATTCTGATACCCAGAATGACAGTGGACTAATAGAAAGCTTTTCTTGTTTATTCATTTGCTCTTGATGGCACATGCAATGTCACTCCTTTAAAAAATTAAATTGTCCAGAACATACTTATCTACATACGCATTAGGCAAGTCAGAGCATGGCAAAGACCGGTTTGTTCTTTTTAAAAATTAATACTAGGGGCACCTGGGTGGCTCAGTTGGTTAAGCGTCCGACTTCGGCTCAGGTCATGATCTCGTGGTCCGTGAGTTTGAGCCCCGCGTCAGGCTCTGTGCTGACAGCTCAGAGCCTGGAGCCTGTTTCAGATTCTGTGTCTCCCTCTCTCTCTGACCCTCCCCCGTTCATGCTGTCTCCCCCTATCTCAAAAATAAATAAACGTTAAAAAAATTTTTTTTAAAAATTAATACTATTCGGTACCTCTAAATCAAGTATGCAGTCGTCTGTGTTGACATGTGAAAGTGTCTGATATTTACTTTTCCCACAAAGCATGTGTGAAGAGTCTTAAATTATCATTTAACATATTTCTAGTGAGAAAGAACTGTGTGATTGATACATTGTTTCTTGAGGATCAACTTTACTGTGTATGTTTCACATATATGAATGTTTCATGAGCATGTTTGCTAATGTTTTTTCATATAAATACAAACATTTCATGCATACTTCTTCATTTAAATATTACTTTTTTATTTTTGTGAGAATTAAGCTCCTGCATATAGTTTAAAACTGTCGCTCACAACTCTTTCTGTGTATCAGAAACATTCGAGTCCTTCTCGAAACCATTTGTACCTGGGCCCCAGCTCCTGTGACTCTGCATCACTTGACTTGGGGCCGGTCTCAGGTATCAGTACAATTCCAGTGTGTTGTCAGGGTGGGGACGACTCAGTCAGCAAGGTGTTACCAAAAACGGCAGTTGCCATACTCCTGCCAAACCCCTCTTTGCCTTTTCCCAGAGGCCACCAGTCACATCTTTTGTAGCTGATTATTTGTCTAAATAACATGCTCGTGTTGATACTTCTTGGTTCTTCATTTTCAGGCATTATGTACTGATGTCCCGTTTGCGGAAGAGAAATTCAGCTCTTTCCTCTTCTTATCCTCTGCTCACATTTATACCTTTTACCTCCTTTTCTCCCCACAGTAGATTTCTTCTATCATGATTTTGGTTCGCTGAATATTTCATGCTTATATTACGATGACTGTAAAATGCATCTAACAGTTAAGCCATATAGTAAACTTCTTCTTTCCCATGCAACTTCCTGCTTTTCCTGGGGCAAATAATTATGTGACTTTGTTCCTTGCTTTTGTCTGAATGTCACACTGATTCAACCCCGGTCTTCTCACCAGGCACCTACGTCTTGTAGGTTGTTCGGATTCATCTGTCTCTTCATTTTTTCTTTGTGCTGAATTACCCCTCAGAGCCTCTGAACTGGTGCCCTCTGCAGAACCCTCATCCCAGAACTCCACTTCATTGTTATCCTGAGAATTCATTATCTCTCCTTTGTTTCCTGAATCCCATGTCTTCCTCTTGGACTCTCACATATACTCTCTCATTTTGGTGCAGCATCTCCAGGAGCAGCTTCCTAGAAAGGCTGAGCAGGAGGTAAAATATCTGAGGTCTTGCACTCCTTCAATTGTTCTTTACTTTACTCTCACCTTTTGATGATGGTTTTGGTAGAGACTGGAAATTATTTCCCTTCAGAATTTGGAAGGGATTGTTAATATTGCTTTCTAGCTTCCAATGCTTCTTAAGAAGTAGAAAAGCATTCTCATTCTGGATTCTTTTTGTGACCTGTTTTCAGTCTCTGGAAACGTGTGGGATTGTCAGTTTGTCCCCAGTGTTTTTCACCTTCATTACGGTGTGCCCCAGTCTGGGTTTACTTCATGGTACATGGATGGCATGTACTTCCTGAGTTTTTTCAATGTGGAAACTCTACCCATTTACTTGAGTTGCTCATTGATCTCCTCTCCCCATTTTCTCTGTTCTGTATTTCGGGAATTTCTGTCATTCCTGTATTGGACCTTCTAGTCTAGTCCTCTGTTTTCTTGCCCTTCATTTTCCATATTTTGTTCCTCTTGCTGTTTAGGAGATTCCCTTGCCTTTATCTTCTAACCTATGAGATTTATTATTTGTCTTCTAGATGTTTCTTTCATAAAGAAATAAATGTACGTGTATGTATATACAACAAATATGCGGACACGTATACAATTGTCTTGGTTTTGCTCTTGTTTGAAACATCTTCTCTTACCTTTGAAAATATCACTTGATCGTTTAAAAAATTCTCCCTGCATGCTATCTTTTTCCTCCATGTTGATTTGTTTCTCTTTGGTTTTGTCTGTATATTTCTTATTAGAGACTTTTCTCAGAGTATCATAATGCTTGCTTGTCTGCTCAGTTTTGAGAGAGGAAGCTAGCACAGTGATTGGAATCTCTGCGATTGTGGGCAGGGCTTGTCACACTGACATGCTCAGTGTGATGGTCTAGCTGGACCATTTAGCTGGGTAACCTCTGATGTCAGCATCTTTAGGTCTTTTTTCATGGTCTGCTCAGATGCACCAGGATGTGATTATCAGTGCTATGCTTTGTTTCCGCTAAAGTCTGTGTGTGTTTATATTTGCATATACATATATCTTTATGTCTCCATTGTCTTACACTTAAAATATTCTTAATAATGCATGTTGAATGATTAAATGAAGGTGCACATTATTATCTTTATTTTGTAGTTGAAGAAACTTTGCCAATGGAGGTTAGGTATTTTGCCTAATTGATTCCACCAGTCTTTGTTATTCCAAAGCCCAAGCTCTGTCCGTATTTAGGAAAAGAGGAGTTTTGCATGCCAGTCCTAACCTCATTTCAGAGGACAGTGATTGAAACACCAAGATATACATGGGAAGTATGGCCCAAACTTCCACTCTCAAATTGTCATTAGGGAATGGGCAGGTTGAAGTGGTTTTATTTCTGTGGTCACATAGTACTAGCAGAGTAAAATAAAATCCCTCAGTCATGTTGGGTAACACGTCTTTCAGTTCTGCTTTCTTTTCTTTGGAAGAAGAAAATCCTTTGAGTGTTTAAATATTTGTGACAGAGCTGGATCTCTGCCAGTGAGCATAACTTACACATTTGTCAAAACAGTCATATTTACGTAAACAGCCCCATCCTAAAGCGTTTGACTGATGGATGCAGATTGCCGCAGGCTGTCAAGACGTTCACCTTCCTAACCAGGGCATGTGAG